GATTCTAAAAAAAAATTCAAATATTGAAAAATAAACAAAAAAAAATAGAATTGTTTTCATTTCATACTGTTCATTATCGTGATGTGTGTGATAATAAAAATGTGGTAATGGTTTAGCTTTAAATTGGAATCCTGATTGAATTATATCGCCTGCTGAATATGAATGTCGTCGTAATATTGTTTTAGCTTTTTCACGTGCATCAAAACTAAAGGGTTTTGATATTGATGATAAATAGTCTCGAGTCATTTGATGTACTTGTTCACGACGAGTACGTTGTTCTTCTTGTAATTGTTCATATAATGGCATGCGAACATGTGCCGGAACAGTATTAGCTAAAATAGAACAGATAACATTGATGAACATAACAGTAAAGAAAAATAGTTGTTTCTCATATGAAACATGGATTATTCAATCAAATCAGACTGGAATTTAGATTTCTGATAGAATTTTCACAAATGACGACTCGTGCAGATTAATTCAGACAATAGAAAACTTTGACTATTCATCAATAATATATATTAGATTGAGATTTTAATGAAAGACATTTTGTTTGAAGATCCTTTCAAGAATTATGATTGACTTTCGTAGCTTTTAATACTATCCCGAGCTCGATTTACTTGATTAGCATTTACGAAAGAACATTTTCAAATGACACGCTCCATTTGTCTTAATATTTTGCCAATGTGTACGAGATTAGTAGAGTTGCGCAAACTTCAAAGATTTTCTGTTCATGCTTAGATATAGTCGAGATAACGATTTCTTAGTTGATACTTTCTGCAGGAGTATAGATTTCAGTAAAAAAACTATGTTTGAAAATTTCGTTCTGAAACTCTGTGCATACGAGATTCTCGATTAGACTATTTCATGTATAAAGTTTCGTCAATTTTAGATATCTCATTACTAAAATATGAATTTCTTAATACATCTTAATTTTACACAGAATTTAAAGAAAAGCATAGATATTTTGAGAAATCCATATCTTACGAATATGATATTCAAAACTGATGATGCTTTGTACATGATATAGTCTAATCAAGACTTTTTTGTCTACAAAGTTTTAGGTTGAGATTCCTAAACATAGTTTATTTCGAAAACTGTGTTCCTACAGGAAATATTTACTAAAAATTTATTATCTCGACCAAACCTAAGCATAAGTAGAAAACTTTGAAAGATTGCATTGCTTTAATGATTCTCTACATATTGACAAAATACGGAGGCAAACGGTGTGAATCATTTGGAAAGATTACATCGTTAGACATTCACATATAATAAACAAATGATAGATTTCATAAAACGAATTTCAGTTGTTTTGATAATATTTTTTATTTGATATATCTAGAACATAAAGTTCTGATATGAGAAGTGACGCCTTTCCAAAAAAGAAACCTGCACAGGACACTATTGTAGCTTCGATTATGTCTATGAGAGCGTTTTCAAATGTGTACTATATTTT